AGTAAACCATCACCAAGTCCATTACACCACACCTTTTGATCTCCTCCACCCGTCTTGATCAAATCAACTTTGCAATATATATATATATATATATATATATATATATATATATATATATATATATATATATATATGTATATGTATACATGTATATATATATATGTATACATGTATATATGTATATGTATACATGTATATATGTATATGTATACATGTATATATATGTATATATATTTTCTGTCAACAAAAGATGGACAGTTTAGATCAATTATTATGATGTGATGAATGGTCTTGATGGCATCCCTAATAAATTTCCTGTGCAAGGCAGGCCTGCGAGGGATCTCTGCTGGGGCCCATGAGGTGCAACCGTTAAATCAGACAAGAAACTGTCACATTATCAAAGCTACTATTTTTTCGCTACTACTAGCATGTAAAGACGAAGTAAAATAACTGCAAGAGACAACATCAACCAGTATCTATCATCTGCTTGTGGTTGTCTTTTGTCAAGATCATTGATTTGGCTGATTTACTTTGTTACTTCGGTTGGAACACCTGCGATAGATGATGAGACATATAGTACTAACATATTTGTAGTTGATGTCTGAACAGGAAAAGATTCGTGTTGCCCTGTATGTGCAGAAGGCTGCTCTGCAATTCATTGACGGTACGAACTCCACCGCTGCAAGTCTCAAATGTACTTGTCTAATTCTGGTTATCAATCGATCTTTGCCTTCGTGCAGCTGGTGCAAAAACCAATCACCAGCTTTCAGAAGAGGTCAGACAAGCTGGTTACTTCATCAACCCTGATGAATTGGCATCCATTGCACGCGGACATGATAAGAAGAGTTTGAAGAACCATGGAGGAGTCAGTGGGATTGCAAGAGAAGTCTGTGTTTCACTTGATTCTGGTATCAGAACAAGTGACCTGCCCATCAGACAGAACATCTATGGTCTCAACCAATACGTTGAGAAGCCGCCAAGAAGCTTTTGGAAGTTCGTATGGGATGCATTGCATGATTTGACATTGATCATCCTCATGATCTGCGCATTGATATCTGTGGTTGTGGGGCTTGCGACTGAAGGGTGGCCCAAAGGTATGTACGATGGGCTGGGAATTATTCTCAGCATTTTCTTGGTCGTTGTAGTCACTTCGGTCAGCGACTACAAACAATCATTACAGTTCAGAGATTTGGACAAAGAAAAGGAGAAGATCTTCATTCAAGTAACCAGAGATGGCTACCGACAAAAGGTATCTATTTATGATTTAGTCGTCGGAGATATTGTTCATCTTTCGATTGGAGATCGAGTTCCAGCCGATGGGCTATATGTTTCTGGATATGCTTTGTTGATAGATTCATCAAGCTTGTCCGGGGAAAGTGAGCCAGTGTATGTTTCTCAAGAAAAACCCTTCCTACTAGCAGGGACTAAAGTGCAAGATGGCTCTGCCAGAATGCTGGTTACCTCCGTTGGAATGAGGACCGAGTGGGGAAAACTAATGGAAACATTATGTCAGGGTGGGGAGGATGAAACACCTCTTCAGGTTAAGCTGAATGGTGTTGCGACAATAATTGGGAAGATCGGTTTAGCATTTGCAACAATGACATTCTGTGTTCTTTTAGGAAGATTTTTAGCTGACAAGGCATATCACCATGGCTTCAAGTGGTTTCCAAATGATGCTTTGACAATACTAAACTACTTTGCTATCTCTGTTACTATAATCGTTGTTGCAGTTCCTGAAGGGCTACCTCTGGCTGTAACATTGAGTCTCTCCTTTGCAATGAAAAAGCTCATGGACGAAAAGGCACTGGTGCGGCATTTATCAGCATGTGAGACCATGGGATCTGCTAATTGCATTTGCACAGATAAAACTGGTACGCTGACGACTAACCACATGGTTGTTGATAAGATATGGATTTGTCAAGTATCCAAGTCATTTAAGGGCAGTGAAACTGCTATATATTTAAAATCCAAGATCTCTGAGAAAGTTTTAGCAGTTCTTTTGCAATGTATATTTCAGAATAGTGGTTCGGAGGTGGTAAGAGGGAAAGATGGTAAGAACACCATCCTTGGTACCCCGACAGAAACAGCATTGTTGGAGTTTGGTTTGGAGTTTGAAGGACTCGTAGAATCCCAGCATCAGGACTGCAAGAAATTGAAAGTTGAGCCTTTTAATTCAGTTAAAAAGAAGATGTCTGCGCTCATTAAATTACCTGGTGGAAGAGTTCGTGCTTTCTGCAAAGGCGCATCTGAAATTATCCTGCAAATGTGTGACCAGCTAATTAATAGTGATGGAAACACTATTCTGTTGTCCAAAAAGCAGAAGGAGGACATCATGAATGTGATTAATAGTTTTGCCTGTGAAGCATTAAGAACACTTTGTTTGGCCTTCAAGGATATAACTAATCAGGAGGCCGAAGAAATTCCTGCCACTGGTTACACACTGATAGCTGTTTTTGGAATCAAAGATCCAGTCCGCCCAGGAGTCAAGGAAGCTGTTCAGACTTGTATTGCTGCTGGTATCAAAGTGCGGATGGTAACTGGAGATAACATAAATACAGCCAAGGCCATAGCAAAAGAGTGTGGCATACTGACAGAGGATGGTTTAGCCATAGAAGGACCAGAATTTCGAAACAAGAGCCCCGAAGAGATGAAAGATTTAATACCAAAAATTCAGGTTTCTTTCATAACTCTACCACAGATACAATTTGAGAACTACTAACCTGCATTCCTGTTGCTTATTGAGCCATCAGACAACCTGAGATGTAGCCTCAAATATGCAACTTATAGTTGTGGCTGTGCCTTATATTTAACATCATAAACTCTTCTCGATCAGCTAGCCTACATTTCCTTGTTAATTACAGGTAATGGCCCGATCTTTGCCTTTGGACAAACATACTTTAGTGACAAACTTGAGGAGGATGTTTAAAGAAGTCGTAGCTGTGACGGGTGATGGCACTAATGATGCTCCAGCACTACATGAGGCGGACATTGGTCTTGCAATGGGTGTTGCTGGCACAGAGGTATGCTTTGTTGCCACTCTCAGGTTTCTTTCCTGATTATGCATGTCACAGTTGCAAGAGACCACATTGTGTTGTATCATATTCTTGAAGATATTAAAAAATGTTTTATTTTGAGAAAAAAAATCATGGGCCACTCCTTGTACAATAAGGGACGGAGATTTGATCTTTCATGACAATTTTACCATGGTAGAAGAAATTAACATCTCTGATCCCAGTTGCATATAACCATGCAGAGAATCTAAAGTTGTCTAGTACCAAAATTATCTTCCTCTGATATCTGTCTCTCTGAATTTTAGTCTGTTTGGAAGGTTTTGGTTTAATTTTATCTAACAAATGTAGAGTTTGTATTATCTGACATTTGGTTTTTGGTACTTAAACCATCTTAGTTTAATAAGTTAAGAAGTTGGGTTACCTAGTACCAAAATTATATTATATTTGATTTTATGAACCAGATTGCAGTTTCCAATTTCATGCTCCAAGTTTGCAGTATTATGTTTTATATGCAAGTAAAATTTGTGATGACAGAAATAGTTTTGAATTTTGGTTATCATCTAGAGAGGAAAAGATGTACCAGGTGCTCATCTAGTGGCAGTTTATTACAGAATGCAACTTTTTTTATGTACATACTACATAGTATGGGCAGAGAGAAAAATACTTAAAGCAACATGATCTAGACCGGCTTACTAGCTAACAAATAAAAGTATATAATTGTTTGTAATAGTGCAGTGGATTAAGATATTTCCCCATTTTGTGAACGAGTTGCAGAAAAGATGATATTATGTTTAGACCCTTCAAGTTGAATCCTTTGCTGTTTTCTCCTTAGAATAATGTGCAGTGAATTTGCATTACGCATCATGTGCAGGTAGCTAAAGAGAGTGCTGATGTGATTGTATTGGACGATAACTTTACTACTATAATTAATGTCACCAAATGGGGTCGTGCGGTTTACATCAATATCCAAAAGTTTGTGCAATTCCAGCTGACTGTTAATGTGGTTGCTCTGATGCTCAATTTTGTTTCTGCATGTATAACAGGTACTCCTGATCCTCATTACAAATATTTACCTTTCACCATGTATAGAAGATTTTATAGTTATTCCAAGTTAATTATGCAATTTTCATGGTATGCAACTTTAGGGAGTGCTCCACTCACTGCTGTTCAGTTGCTTTGGGTCAACATGATTATGGACACATTAGGTGCTCTAGCATTAGCAACAGAACCCCCAAATAATGATATGATGAAAAGACCACCTGTTGGCCGGGATGAAAATTTCATCACCAAGGTCATGTGGAGAAATATAATCGGCCAGAGTATATTTCAGCTGATTGTACTAGGAGCTCTGATGTTTGATGGGAAAAAACTTCTGAGACTTGAAGATCCAAATTCTGACATTGTTCTCAACACATTCATATTCAACACGTTCGTGTTTTGCCAGGTAATTCTTGATATTTAGTTCCAGTAATTTATTGTCATTTAGTACATTACTTGATAAAACAGTGTTTGGTCTTGGATCTTTATATAGCTGATTACATACTTTTAATTTTTGGTCCAGCTATATTTTGATGATTCTTCAGTTCTAAATGTTTCCACCAAGATTATATTGAACCATGCTCTTTCATGCATTAATCGTTGCTAAATCATAGTTGCAACTTATATATTGAGATGGTTCCCTCATATTCTTCAAAAAAAAAAGATGTTTCTATGATCCTTTTGGAAGTAAATTCTGAATCTGGTGGATCTAATTGCAGCAAGTTTGTGTCCTTGGGTTCGGATTCATTATCTAGTTTTGTACTTGGTTTTGGAGAGTGGAGATATTAAAGTGAATCAGGAACTATGTACACCAACAGCAATGATATTAGAGGCTTAATGTTGAGGAAATAATAGATTTTGGAGCTTGGGCTCGTATGGGAATTGTCTAAACAAGGTGAAAATGAGACATATCTATTTACAGGATATCACCACATAGGTATCATTATGGTCCCATGTGTCTTGCTCCAGATATTTCTCTCTGATGAGACGTTGAAGAGAGTCGTTTATCAGGTGATGTTAAGGTTTAAGAAACATTTTTCTGCTACAAGTCTTGAACTTCCATTAGTTCTCGCCTTGTGTTATTGTTAAGGTATCTGGTAGAACAGGCTTGCAAATCTTATATATACTAAGGGCTTACAAGCTAGTTCACCTATAGAACATTACAGAGTTTTTCCATGGTGGAAAATAACTTAAAAGGTGTTAGTCAAAGTATGGTTTTATGGAAAACTTAACTACATCCTGTTTTCTGCAATTTGTGACATCTTATGCTCTTTAAGACAACCATGACCATCTTGCCTTTTTCATGGTAAGGATACTATGAAATGCAAAAACAATTATTAATTAGTCCATTCAGGAGGCACTTCGTGAATAATTACAGCTCAAGGAAAAATAAAGAGAAAAAAAATGGAGAATTAGTATATGATGCAATCTAGTCCTAAACTCCTAATTAAGACTTGCCAAAACAGATCAGTGGTCTAGGACCATGAATGTTTAGATCACAAGGATGGGGTTTCCTTATAGATCAAAGTGTGTACAAGCTTATGTGTAATGGAAAATCTATTCATTCCGATACAGAGATTTAGCAAAGCAATTCTAAGAATGTTAGTGTTGACTCTACTGAGTCATGGTTGGTTTATAGTTGAAATCTGACTACAATATAGTGATAATTAGATAAGATACGTGAGTACTTTTCAGTTTGAGCCAATACATCATTTTCTCATGCATTATTCCCGAATAGACACATGGCCTAGGAAATTAATGCATCCTACTATTGACAAACAGTATTTCTATATATGTCATATATATCCAAAAGTACTTGAATGTTATATTGCAATTATGAAAGCAATTAAGCACCAAAAATACAGTAATGCAAGCATCAAGCATATTATTGTCAGTATTTCTATATATAACACTTACGTACCCCAGAAGACTTGAACGTTATATTGCAGTTCATGAGAGCAACTAGGCTCCAAAAATACAGAAATGCAAGTATCAAGCATATTATTGGCTCAATCCATGCTGTGTAAATGTATATATTGCATAGATAGGTATATTTGACATCATGATACTTGCATATATGTATCCATACATAAAAACATGCATAATTTTATAGGTTTACACCTGATGGTTCAGGAAACTGTAACCTTATATATTCTGAAACTGAGCAAGCGATTGCCTGTCATAACAATGCACTATGTGACAAGTTCCAACATTCTTAAATTGGTTGGTTCCAGCAGTGGCTTTGAATGTCTACCTTCATCTGATTACAGTTTCAGAGACCTTATTCACTTAATTCCATCACTACATCAGGTTCTTGTAAGGTAAACGAAAGGTCACTCGAGCAAGGTTTGTCGTACCATACCGTATCGGCATTTCGACCCAGGCTCGGTATGGTACGGTACCAGTGTACCAGGCGGTACATCAGGGCGTACCGAACGATACACCCTGGTGTACCGAATAATTTTATACTTTTTATACTGTAGCAGTGCTACAGTATAGTACTGTATCACTGTAGCGGTACCGGTCGGTCCGCATACCAGTAATTTGTCGGACCGGTACGTACCGTCCGATACGGGTGGTACATTTCGGTATGATAGACCTTGCACTCGAGTACTAAAAGTTGCCAAGTTTAGGCTTTCGTGGTACGGTGATTTTTACCGTTCCTCTCTTTTGATATGATAACATAGATTTTGAAGATTTTCAATGTCATTTAGTGGTTATTGGTAGTAAAAGAGCTAATGTTTCCATTTAGAAACTAAGCTTTTAGCATCTTCAAAATCACATGAAAGATTTCCAGTTTGCTATGTTTTTCCAGTAAATCAAAGCCGATCCTAGGAAGGGGATAGCTTGCAATTAATCGGATGAAGCATTTTTCCTCTTCATATCACTCAATTATAGTGTATCAATCTGAATTTAACTCGATACCTCTGCTTCAGGTCTTCAATGAGATAAATAGCCGTGAGATGGAGAAGATCAATGTGCTACATGGAATCTTAAGCAACTGGATCTTTGTGGCCATCTTAACATCGACAATAATATTCCAAGTGATCATAGTGGAACTCCTTGGTCCCTTTGCAAGCACAAAGCCTCTAAGTTGGCAATTATGGTTGATCAGCGTAATGATCGGCTCCATCAGCATTATTGTTGCAATTATCTTGAAGTGGATTCCAGTTGAATCAAACAAGTGCACCACAGTTCATCACCAGAATGGCTATGATGCACTCCCTAGTGGTCCAGAAGCAGTATAAAGCACCAAAGAAGAGCACACCGACACTTTTCTGAGTCTGACCACAATTTTTTTCCTTGTTTGGGTTTAAATTTGAGGGTGCTAAATGGTGTCATATTGCATCATTCTCTTGCAAACATGACGATAGATCTTCTTGCACCAGGACAAAGAAACTTCACAGAAAGACCATCTTGCATTTTGAGATCCAATTCTTCAAGAGCTATATCTGACGGAATTTTACTTTTGTTCTTCTTTCAGGAAAATAAACGTCCAGATGTGCTCTGCAGTTAATAAATTGAGTCATCAGTTGTACATAACTCTGATTTGCTTTAGATTTGAGCTTGAGAGTCTCTGTTCCATGTCAGACAAATGTGACATTTGGATTGGAAAACATGCTTCATGATTAATAAACCTCTTGAGATTAAATCCATGCTTTGACACAGGTTTTTTGCTTTCATATTTTGGCTCAACAAACTTTCTCTCAGGTTGTGTGTCATGTACTTCAGAGAGAGAGAGAGAGAGAGAGATGCATTTACAATCTCGGTTATTCAACGCAGGTAGCAAATGATGCATTTACAATCCATATCTGATATCCAGGTTCCAACATTAGGATGAGAAACTTGTGCTGTCTGGCACATTAACCATCATAGAATTGTTCAGTTGTTTCAATGGGGGAAAACCTAAAACCAAACGAAAGCACCAAACAGAACACAAGTAGATCTGTGTTGACAGTAGATTTTCTAGTTGGTAATATTCTTGATGTTGAGTGAAACTGTAGGTCAGATCTAACCTTAAATGCTTGCTTGAACAGCAAGGAGAAACCTTAATGTAAAGCGTAACTATTGTTTGCAGAAAGAACTTGGACAAGTAAATCACAGTTAAAACTCTCACTAAACAATGTTTTGCACGCTTAAAAATATTGGCATAAGAACACAAATGAGTAAGTTGCTAATAAATTGCTAATCAGATACTTCTACGTTCATATTGGATCGGCCATTGAGATAGCAGAAATACCAGCAATTTTATGCCATGCAATCCGCACAAAATTTTCATGTAGTTTTAATCATATATTTGATCTTATGCTTCTCATTCTAGTTTGCATCTTATTCCTCAAGAAACAAGAATTCATGCCAAACTTCTTCCTTGTTATACACTTCATCTAATCATTAAGCGGTATATACTTGGATAAATATTTTTTGTAATATCACATAAACAAAAAGGCAAAGGTGCACAAACAAGCAAAGATCGTGTTGTTATCGTAGTTACAAGTAGGAAGTCTCAGAAGGATCAGATTCAAGCTGGCCTCACATCACAATATGTTGCTAGAGGATCCTCAGGTCAAGGTGTAGGGATGATCATGAATAAAATGATGTCCACGTGTTACCGAGATGACTCTGTAAGTTTGCTGACAAAAAACTTTCCTATATCTTCAGTAACCACATTGCTCCTGTCAAAACCAAAGATAAGTTCCAAATAAGAGCTAATGACTTTTTTATTTAATTTAACCATAATGAGCTGACCCGTGTACACAACTGAGGTGATAGCTTTTCTGATATTTGTAAATCAGTACATTGTTATATTTACACAAAATTGAAAACCATAATAGCTGTGCACTACTTAAACATGGAAAGAGTTGATCGATACTGCACTAAATTTCATAGACGAGTGGGATCTTTAAAAGCAGAGAGACTAGGAGAAAAATGAATTCCCATATCACAGTATATACCAAGCATTGACTGTATTGTTAAGGTCCAACTGCTCACCAATATGCAGCATGTCACTGTATTGAAAAACATTGACACTTCAACCAATTCTCATTATTTTCCACATAACAACATTTCGTACCGTACTGGTCCAATAGAGATTTGTAAGGGATTGATACCCAAGATTTATTTCATGCCAGAGAGAGTTCTGGTATACCATCGAACAATCTGACAGACCTCATATTGGCTAGGGTCTTATACACTGGACCAACTCTATATTATTCCAGCAATTGGGATAATCTTTTTTGCAAAAAGTTTAGCTACTCAAACTTTTCGTTTATAAATCTTAATATCAAGGTATTATTTGTGAATTTGGCTAATATAGAAAATATATGAGATTACATGTAAAAGCAAGAAAACAGATATCTGAATATGTATGTTTATTCATTTTGCTGAAAGACTGCATGAAGAAACTTTCTTTCTATTGCTATGACTATGTTACACACAAAGTTTCAAGTTTGTTGGGGCTAGTACTCTGAGTTCACAATTATTACAGTCTTGTCATGCATGTTATATAAGCAACTTCCAAGAAAAGTAATGTGAAAAAGTAAATGACTCATAATTAAATGAGCAGTAACAAGTTCACAACTAAGTGAACAGTTACATCAAACACCTAAACTCCTTGTGTACTTGTTGATGTCATGAACAGACTCGATGGAAAAATTGACATATTACATCACATAGCCTAAAATTCTCAAGTCTAAGTTAATGGTAGTAGACGCCTTCAATGTCACCAAAAAGGAAGTTCTTTGTCAATACATCTTGATTCTAGCTATTTGTCCTCAGTATTGTGACTTCTAAATTGACAAATCATTCTTGTCAACAGCTCACTTATATCTCATTTTTCCAAGATATGGAAAAGCTTCAATTTGTTCAAACTAAACAGTTCTTTTTGGTAATTACATGCAAATATAAAAAGCAAACGCAAGAGCTTGAGAGAATCAATTGTAACAGCCTAATAAGATATACAAATAACTTATTTGTTGATAATATTGGAGTATACATCTATATTTTTCTAATTGTATACAATTCCATTACAAAAATGTTTCAACTCATGCCCCAAAAAAAGTCAGGATTTAGCAACTCATTAGTCCTAAAAACGAAGTCAGGATTAACCTTGTTGTATTGGCTTCATATGCAATTTGGCTGAAAGTAGCAGTAAAAAACTACAAATAGACTTTTTTAAGCCATGGATGCTGGAAAACACAATAAAAAAGCAATCAGATCATGTGGAAGTGCTTGCCGACGTCACTCAAAATATCATTTAAACATCATGAAATACCAGTCAATTAATATATATAGCGGCATAAACTTTTGGCCCACCCTACCCAGAAAGAGAAAAATTAAGTCGATAAAACTAACCTCCCACTGAGCTGTGGTGGAACTAACAAGCCACCCTTTGTGTTGGGAACATTTCTTAGACGTCGTAATTGTCCTCTGGAATGCTTACTAGATGGTTGAGGAAAGGTGGAACCATCTGATTCTCTCTTTCGTGATGCAGTTTCTGCAAGTGCAGCAGCAACTCTAGAGGAGTGATCAGTACCAACCGTTTGGCTTGATTGGTAGGATTGAGTAGCAAAAAGAACTGATACATCTAGAAGTCCTTCCAATGAAGGTGGCGGCAAGGGGGGGACTACATTTGAAGGTTGATTTGCTGCTATGGGGATCCTGTAGATATATTCAGAAAGAAAAGGAGAAAGTTATGAAACTTCGAGAGCAGTAAAACATTGATATAACTATACAAATTCAATTCTTCCACTACATAACTTTGTAATCGCCTACTTAATCCACACTAACAAATAGCGGCCCTCTGCCATGAAGAACATTTATCAGCCAGTATGAAGTTCATGATTGAATCCAAAAGTAGCAGTCATCATGGCATTTGCAGATATTCATTTACTCTAGCTAGATAGTCAGTCATACAGAAATTATATTAGGAGGCGAACTATGATATATTGTTTAAACTTCATCACTCCAACCACCCCCAACACCCCAACCCAATAAAAAACCAGAAAAAAATAGAACAAGCAAAACACTAAGAAAATCATAACAAATGTTAGAGCAAAATAGCCCACCACCTCTAGAAACTCAACTTTTTGTTTCTGTTTACTTAATTCAGAAATAAGTCCACCTGAACATTCAGAATAAGAAAAAAACTGCATCAATGTTACTCTATCTAACATACAATCTCAATATGAAAAAGAGCATGAAGATGAACAAAATTTACCTTGTCATGCATAAAGAATAAGTTATTATCTTCCAGTCTGTGACTTAGTTGGCCACAAGGACCAAGATGTAGACTTATTTTTCTCAAAGTCATACACCAAAATCTAAATCATATAGCTCTGGAAACACTTCAGTGATAAAAGAAACTAAAGACAAACCAACAAGATGTTCTTACTCATTCCAGATAGAGTTCTTAATCTACAGTGGCCTTTATATCTATGCAACAAAAACAGTTCCTGCGACGCAAGTTCTTAATTCCTAGCAAGTGAGCTAACATAAAATTATATCATGTGCTCACTCCATGTTAATGAGAACAAATATTATATCATTGCAGTGCTATGCAAGTCTTGCCGTGAAATTCCTGAACAAGAATATAACTTAACTTTTGTACATTCTCTTTGGTCCTTGTTGCATGAAATTCACCTATCTCCAAGGAGCACCTAGCATGCCCACAAGAGTAATTCAGTAATTTAGCATTTTAACTTAGATCACCCAACGTCACTAAAAATTTTATAGAAAGTAACATTGACTGCAATTGAGCTACATTGTCTAATTACTGATCCTTAGTTACACTGGTAACTATCAATCAAATTGCATACTGGTCCATTAATATTTAAAATAATGCTTGTATTTTAACTACATCATGAATGATTGATTATAAAATATTAAATAAACACATTTTTTCTTTCTTGAACACCACTATATTACATCTTTAGAATTAAATTACAACCTTTAATAAATAGCTTAAATAGACATACAAGTTTTTCCTCCTTTCTTTACATTTCTCCATTCACTATCCTAACATGTAAAGTTGATAGTCAGTGTTATAGTTGATCGACCTGGTAAAAACCAAATTAAACTCAGTAAACATTTGTTTTGTGTTTAATCATCCACTCTAGTAGTCACATAATATGGCCTATAAGTTTAGTTTCATCATTTCATGAGTTTATGTGATTCTAAATATGTCCCTTGTTCAGTATAAAATGGTACCCAAACACTTCTTCCTCCAATATCAATCATTTTTCTTTATTATAATTCATTGGTAAACATAATCAAAGTTCTATGCATTTTAATGTCCCAATAAGTTGTCAAATTTTATGCACTCTATAGTCTATTCTACATAGCTATTTATGGTCCTTTTGCCTCATTTTCAGTTATTTTATAAACTTATCTTTAGCTATTTATGGTCCTTTTGCATCAATTTTAGTTATTTTATAAACTTATCTTTTGAGTTAACGATTCTATTTTTTAGCTTTAAACTCCATTACTGAAAGGATGTTGATTTATGATTTGTAAAAGTAGCTCCTCTATGCTACCTTATTCTCGACAACATTTACAAGCACCCTTTGATCATTGTTTCATATGAAATATGACACTACCAAAATCTCCAATATTTCTTTCTCCCATAATTACAAGTTTATAAACGTTTCCCTTTCCAAATTAGTTAACCCACTAGCTTAAAATAATGATAATGGATAAGAGACAAGAATCTTTTTTCAGGGAAAAGTGCTACGCATTCCAATCACCTTAACAATGTCAAAGTGGAATTCACTGACTTAATATGTCCATACTCAAATGCTTAATGATTTATTTAACAGCATCCTTTTTCTTCTTTGTTATCTCCTTCTGAATTGTGCTTTAATGTACATTAGAATAACCAAAATGAACAATGCATTTACTGTAAAATTCCATTTCCCGTATTAACACTTGCTCAAGATTTGTACGTGCGTTGTCCTTATTCTTCTCGCTCTCCTTGGTGAAGTAGTAGCACTAATTTGGAATCCTACAGAAAGAAAATTTACGGATTATACCCTATCATCCATTATAGTTCCATGTCATAACTCGAACTGCTGTCTTTCAACAATACGCGTTTGGAAGAATTGCAGACATCGGTAACCATCACAATATAATCACGATGAACGAGTATGTCGAAATATTACAGCACTACTAACTAATCGGAACCCAACGTCGATGTTGTTCGTAGAGGAGAATAGAAGGGTTCAAAACCCATAACTAAAAGAAAGGATAGGTCGAACGAAAATAAGCTGATTCGCACAGAAATCAAACGGAGAAAGACAAGCAAACGAAAGACGATTACTGGTTCTGGCGATTGGGGAGTGGGATCAAAGGCGGCAGCGGGCGCGTCGACGGAGGGGAGAGCGAAGGAGCAGCCGATTCCATCTGTTGCTTCCTCTTTTCTTCTCCTTTTTCCTGCAAATCGATCTCTTCTTCTTCTTCCGAAGAGGCGTAATCCACGAGCGACATCTCTCTCTCTCTCTCTCTTAAACAGGAGAGTCGCTCGCTCGGTCTCTCCCCGTCTCTCTCCTCTCTCTCGCTCGCTCACGTGTTTCCTTTTGGGGTATTATTATTTGGTGCTTAATACTTTATCGACTACTGTTGAGAATCGGATCCTATTAGGTAGGATCCGAACCCGTTTAAATGAGTACAACTGCGGTGTCATAGGTTGACTTTAATTTCATCAAATCAAATTAATGATCAAATTTTATATTATTAGATTAAAAATATTAAAAGAAAAACTCTTCGGATGATATCATCGAAAAAAAAAATCTCATAAAAATATATATGAGCAAAAAGATCTCTTTATCGTCCATTATGATCAAACTTAGCAAAAGCCTCTATCTTTACCATTACGATCAATCCTACATAAACACGAATAATAATAATAGGTCCTAAACGACCAAGGTTATTATTTCTTAATAAAAAATTAAAATTTATGATTATTATTAAGGTTATCTTTAGCCTCACCCAATAAGTTAAGTCTTGGTTGGGATGGTGTACACCGTCCATCTCTATTCTCCTACGATTAATATGGATCATAGCAACATATATTTTAAATTATAAGAATTTTATCAATTGCAGTTAATTCCATAGAAAACTCCAAATCGTTTGTCCCACCCATTAATTTATTCTCGGGTACCACAAACACTTTCTCTATTCTTTAACTTAAAGTATATTTTATTGATAAGATCGAGTCTTATCTTATATAAATTAAATTATTAGAAGAAATGGATAAGCATCTCGATAACGTGAGACATGAGAAGTAAAAAAGCTTGACAAAGTGACTTATTAAGATTAGTCTGTTTCACTCATGAGATTCAAGAGAATTTTAGTATATTCAAGAGGAATATACTAATATACTTTCAAGGGAAAGTGCTTTCATCAAAGGATCAATCCAATATGTCATCTTTAACATCCTCACTTATTAATCTTTTTTGATTGATTTAGGATAAAATTCTCGAGAATGATATTATTCTCATATTCCTCTTAATTCAATTACATCATTTATTAACAATCAATGCCTGAATAAGGTTGCAATGATATTATTGACCATTTGACGAGACGAAATGGAGTAGATATTTAAACAACATGCGATGTTGTTTTTGACAAGATTTTTAGAAAACTTTAGAATTCATAATTATAAAATATGGATCCCATCATTTGTAATAAATTGTTTGAAACCTAAAAGGGTATATATATATATATATATATATATATATATATATATATAGATAAAGATATTTTACATTATATATTGCAACATTGTGGTGATTAACAAGTAATTTTTTTGATAATAACTTTGGAGCTCAAGTTTGTAATGGTTATAGTCTTATTCCAATAATAGCCAATTTAGGTAACTTGAATCATAGAGACATTCTTAATTATATAATGATAATAAATAATATTTTTTGAAATAACATGGGAAATAAATGAATATTAGGATACCATATGACAGGTAGAATGAAGAGTGTATCTTTCATGATTGAATACTGGAAGATGAATCAACGAGTCCCATTTGGTTAAAAAGAGTAAAGAACTAATTCTAATGATTCGTTTCAATGGATTTAAAGATTTGTGTCATCCATTACCTATCAAATGCAACTCATTCATAGAATCCTCAAAATAATTCATTCTATAGATATGCGTTTATAAAGAAGATGATGACTCTCATCTTATCGCATTTATCATCGGAGGATAATAGAATGGCATAGATTTTTTTTTTTGTCCCTATATAGATGTCCTTTATGCTATTGAATGGATGGATTATTCTCTTCCTTTGCGGAGAGAAAATAATGGTTCTTCCCAATGGCCTCTCTTTGTGTTTCTTCTATAGTGACTTTGTTTCTTTGGTCGGCAAGTTGAGATCAAAATTTGTGAAGAAGGTGCTTCATACAAACCGATAGCTCCTTTGGGATGGTGCTATCAATTATATTTTTTATAGGGTGGCAAAATGTTCATCTTGACAAGATGCACCCTTTGTCTTATCTTTTTTGTTCTAGGGATCATCTTTTCTACCTTCTTGTCCCATCCGATGAGACAGTAGAGAAGCATATTAAGAAGCTGAACGACAAATGATCAGATGAAGGTATTAGAATTCCTTTTATTTAGATATTACTGTCTCTCTTTTTCTTCTTCTTCTTTTTACTATAATTAAAAAAAATAGATTATTTTATTTTACTCTAATCAAAGCTTGATAATTCTGTTTATTCATTGCAGATGACAACTTGGCCAACTTACTAAAAGCTTAAATGGCATGCTTGCTTCAATCAAAACATCATTAAATATAAATAGATGAGACACACACTTGTGGCATGGTCCCTTAGATCTTTATTGATGTCAAAGACCATGATGATGGTTATAGTTGCTAATGCAAAGGTGTATGTACTAATGCACTTCTTGTCTGTGTTTTGATTCAACTATAATTTCTGACTTTTCTCTTCTATCTCCAATTCATAAGCACTAAAAAGGAAGGAAAAAATACTTTAACTATAATCTTAATTTTATGTTTTATTTTAAGAGATACCAATTTTATAGTGAATTACAAAGATGTGTTGATATATAATTTTTTTTTGTATGAAAGAAAAATGTTGCTTTCAAAAATAAAAAAACGAAATCCATAATTTATTACCTGAATAAAGATGATGTTTTGCATTGTACATTATATATATTACTGTATTGATTAAATAGCCATTTTTGATGCAAGTCACTTCTTAGATATAACTTTGGAGCTCAAGTTTTTAATGGATCTAATCATAGAGACATGCTTAATTATACAATGATAATGAATAATCTTCTGCTGCAATAACATTAACTCGGAAATAATTGAATGCAAAAAAATGAATATTAATTAGAATATCACCATATGGCGAGTAGAATGAAGAGTACATTTTCTCATATTTTATTTTAATAGTAGATTAGAGGATTTTCATCAACGGAGTATAGAGATTTTCTCATATAGTTTAATCTCTTTATTCTGTTGCAGGAAATCTTATTTGCTATTATGTTCAACGAATTGATTGTAAATAATTGAATACTGAAAAATGAATCATAGCATCGAAGTTTGTTTAAAGAGCGAAGTGATAATTATAATGATTTGTTTCAATGAATATAAAGATTCTATCATCTATTAGCTATCAAATAATACTCGTTCGTGGAATCCTCAAAACTGATTAGGCCATAGCAATAATCCCTTTGACCACCAAAAATAATTGATTTATTGGATACTCAAAACAAATTATGTCATATACAATCCATTTATTAAATCCTCAATTCATTTGGTCACTCATTGGGCTCAAAATTAAATTGGCATCTTCTCTCTACCAAGTATGTGTCCACAAAGCAAACGACCCTCATCTTATAGCATTTGTGATTGGATGATCATAGATTGGCTTGGATGTATTTTAGGATCTTCACTTTTTCCTTCTTTTTCCCTTTGTAGGTTTATATTTCAATATTTAAAGCAGAATAATAGCTTGCATCATGTCTATCAACGTTTCCAACTGTTGGGTGAAGTTCATGAATATCTTAACGGGGATGAGCGGGTGGCTCGGATTGATCTTGTTTTCTTTGTCAAGGTAACCTTATGGTTAGAATCAATGATGGTTGCTCCTGTCATGACCTCTTGCACGTCTCCTCATGCTTACTTGAGACCATCGCTTCAGTAGCTATGTTTTGGTTGGTCCTCTAGAGGACCTCGAGTGTAGTCACGAGCGACCTTTCCACCAATGACCGGAAAAGGTGAGAATACCTAATTCCCATTATGAAAGTTTGAATAATGAGTAATGGATGAGTTTCTTGCATGCCTCTTTTGATGATGAACTGGGTGACGAAATCAAAGAGTATCTCTTCCTCCCCTAACTTGAGTCCGAGCAACATTGCCATTGATGGCTTCGAGCATCCATTCCCACACTGGGTCTCTCAGCATCATTAAGAATACGTGATACATCAAAATATTTGAGGTATCGTAAAGAGACATCTGGCACGAAAAGTGATAATGTGTTCAATCGAGTTGGTACTATAATCAATAAGCTTTCAGTGATAAGAGGTAAAAGTTAGTTAGTTAAAATTAGCTTCTCTTGGATGTTTTGGGTGAATGGGGATCAACTTGAGGTGGGATCAATCATATTCTACCCCTTGGACCGCTAGAAATCTCATCGCATTTTATCTAGGCATTAGTCTATTTGCCTTAGCTAGATCTTTAGAGAGTCATCCATTAAGTCTACTGATTGAGTCTCAGATTGGGGCGAGGCAAAGCAGTGGTGTGGTGCATTGAACTCTACTATTAGGGAGTGAGATACTCCATCAGTTAGTAGTTTTATGGACCTCGAGCGATCTTGAGATGCTAGCATCGCATCAATTAGGGGGATTTTGATGGGTGCTAGTGTTAGTAGTAGTTGAGATGTCATCTATAACTAAGATGACAACATCATTTGTTATGCTAGTTGAGGTAGGAGTGGGCCAACAACTTGCAACATGCCCATAAACGTCTACACCTTATGGGCGAGATTCAGGAATACCTTGGTAAGAATAAGCAGGTGGCTCTAGTTTGTCCTTGGGGGTAAGGGGCTTGGATCACTGAATAGATACCAGTGCCTTATCGACATATATACCGAGGTGGACATATCCACATGTGGGAAGAATGACAGTTGCCTCCCTGGTAAAAGTGTTGTGGGTTGGAGGCGAGACTTCCTCACTAGAGTATTCATTGATAGGGTTGATAGGTGAATATTCCTGTAATATCAGGCCTTCCTTCTAGCATCAAACTATTAAGGAAAAATATCATTGATATCTTAGCCAACCCAATGTATTCTAGACCTGTGTGCATAGAATTATCAAAAGTATCTTCGAGATGGCTTTGAGATAGTTCCAAAGTGGATCGGAAGTGACTCTGAGATAGCTTCGATGTAGCTCCGAGGTGGATCCAAGATAGATTCAAGGTTAATTTTAGGTGGCTTCGAGGTGATTGAGAGATGGATCTA